TAGCCGTGCGTCATTAGACCTAAGTAGCCGTGCGTCATTAGACCTAAGTGGCCGTGCGTCATTAGACCTAAGTAGCCGTGCGTCATTAGACCTGGGTAGCCGTGCGTCATTACACCTAAGTAGCCGTGCGTCATTAGACCTGGGTAGCCGTGCGTCATTACACCTAAGTAGCCGTGCGTCATTAGACCTGGGTAGCCGTGCGTCATTAGACCTGGGTAGCAGTGCGTCATCACACTAGGTTATCCGTGCGTCATCCGACCTTTGACCTGGCGTGACCGCGCTACAGCCAGCGCCGAGACCAATTTGTCGGTACCAGACTGGAAAGTGACGTCACTAATGAAACCAAATCAGCGGCCTTGGTCACCTGAAAGGTCAGTAGGTCAACTACTGGTGTCCACAACCAAAGCTCATATGTCATGGTGAAGGTCAGGCAAGTGACAGACAGTCATGCGAGACAGACACGTGAGACAGGCATGTGAGACAGACATGTGAGACAGACATGAGAGACAGACATGCGAGACAGACACGTGAGACAGACACGTGAGACAGGCATGTGAGACAGACATGTGAGACAGACATGTGAGACAGACATGAGATACAGACACGTGAGACAGACATGTGAGACAGACATGTGAGACAGACATGTGAGACAGACATGTGAGACAGGCATGCGAGACAGACATGTGAGACAGACATGAGAGACAGACATGTGAGACAGACATGTGAGACAGACACGTGAGACAGACATGTGAGACAGACATGTGAGACAGACATGTGAGACAGACACGTGAGACAGACATGTGAGACAGACATGTGAGACAGACATGTGAGACAGACATGTGAGACAGACATGAGAGACAGACATGTGAGACAGACACGTGAGACAGACATGTGAGACAGACATGTGAGACAGACATGTGAGACAGACATGTGAGACAGACATGTGAGACAGACATGTGAGACAGACACGTGAGACAGACATGTGAGACAGACATGAGATACAGACATGTGAGACAGACATGTGAGACAGACATGTGAGACAGACATGTGAGACAGACACGTGAGACAGACATGTGAGACAGACATGAGATACAGACATGTGAGACAGAGAGACAGACATGAGACAGACATGTTAGACAGACATGTTAGACAGACATGTGAGACAGACACGTGAGACAGACATGAGACAGACATCAGACAGACAGACTAGAGAGACAGACATGTGAGACAGACATGTGAGACAGACATGTGAGACAGACATGTGAGACAGACATGTAAGACAGACATGTGAGACAGACACGTGAGACAGACATGAGACAGACATCAGACAGACAGACATGAGAGACAGACATGTGAGACAGACATGTGAGACAGACATGAGACAGACATGTAAGACAGACACGTGAGACAGGCATGCGAGACAGACATGTGAGACAGACATGTGAGACAGACATGTGAGACAGAGAGACAGACATGAGACAGACATGTTAGACAGACATGTTAGACAGACATGTGAGACAGACACGTGAGACAGACATGAGACAGACATCAGACAGACAGACTAGAGAGACAGACATGTGAGACAGACATGTGAGACAGACATGTGAGACAGACATGTGAGACAGACATGTGAGACAGACATGTAAGACAGACATGTGAGACAGACACGTGAGGCAGACATGAGACAGACATCAGACAGACAGACATGAGAGACAGACATGTGAGACAGACATGTGAGACAGACATGAGACAGACATGTAAGACAGACATGTGAGACAGACATGTGAGACAGACATGTTAGACAGACATGTGAGACAGACACGTGAGACAGACATGAGACAGACATCAGACAGACAGACATGAGAGACAGACATGTGAGACAGACATGTGAGACAGACATGAGACAGACATGTAAGACAGACATGTGAGACAGACATGTGAGACAGACATGTGAGACAGACATGAGATACAGACATGTGAGACAGACATGAGACAGACATGTGAGACAGACATGTGAGACAGACATGTTAGACAAACATGAAAGACAGACATGTGAGACAGACATGTGAGACAGACATGTGAGACAGACATGTGAGACAGAGAGACAGACATGTGAGACATACATGTGAGACAGACATGTGAGACAGACATGTGAGACAGACATGTGAGACATACATGAGAGACAGACATGTGAGACAGACATGTGAGACAGACATGTGAGACAGACATGTGCGACAGAGAGACAGACATGTGAGACAGACATATGAGACAGAGAGACAGACATGAGACAGACATGAGAGACAGACATGTGAGACAGACATGTGAGACAGAGAGACAGACATGAGAGACAGACATGTGAGACAGAGAGACAGACATGTGAGACAGAGAGACAGACATGTGAGACAGACATGTGAGACAGACATGTGAGACAGACATGAGAGACAGACATGTGAGACAGACATGTGAGACAGACATGTGAGACAGACATGTGAGACAGACA